GAGCTGGCGGCTGCTGGCAGACCATCCTCACTTACAGCCCTGCCTCCTCCAGCACCAGGAGGGAGCCACAGCTCATCGCAAGACTATTAACAGCACAACAAAGTATTCATACATTTACTAGACTTTGTATCCTTTCACACCAAACAGTCATTCCTTTGATCTCTGGGTGAGAAGGGATTTCCTTGTTATGTCAAACCATTAAGGAAATGAAGAAACACCCCCATACAATCCCTCCTTCTGTACTGATGGCAACGAGACACTCAAAAGGAGATTTTTTTTCCCCCCTAAGAACAGCATAATGACTGTCAACAGCACCAATATTTCTAATGAGGTTGTGCTACCGCTTCTGACAGGTCCACTCAACTCATTTTTGCTGTGCGGAGAATACTGCCTCAGGCTGATAATTAAACAGAATACAATTTCTTACACACTCATGTCACCCTTACAAGGTCAGTGTTTATCTTACAGGATTTTAATAAAAACAGAAGCTGTTGTGATGTACCAGCCACCACAGTTAATTAAGAACTACTGAGTATCTACTTCTATATAAAGACATTTAAGTAAGGCAGACTACAAATGCTTCATAAAAATACCTTTGCATTCAATTCCAGCTTTACATCAGATTTATACATACATGTACCTGGGTGTGTGGTCGTGTGCTGAAATTTTAAGTACATTCAAGGAGCCATCAGGATTTCATCAGCCTACCGCAGCAAGGCTTTTTTTGTCTCCCTCCTCCCTCACACCTGCCTCCGGCCAGCATGCCCGACAGGCAATAACTAGTCCTGCAGCACTGGCCACCCTCCTGTACAAAAAAGCCCTCGGTTTGAATGGCGTCTGATTGGCACTGCTGAGAGAGAACCGAGAGCTCCCTGCGAGGGCTGAGCACTGCAGTTCGCCCTCGGAGAGGCCAGAAATAAAAGCTTTTCAGGTTGCACGTTTTTAGATACATAAAAGTGGTCTGAGATCCTGTTTAGAGTTTTTAATGACCCTCACCAAACCCTCCGCAGTTCAGCCTGTGGCTTGGCAAGCGGAGAAAGAAAAGATGATCCTAAATAAAAGCGTTTACTCCCTCCCACCCACCGAATACTGCACGCCTAACCAAGGCGAATGCAAGGCAGCGTTCTGGGGGACAAACGCTTCACCCCTGACTGCTTGATACAGCCACAGCCGGACGCTGGCGAGCAGCGGAGCCCGAGCAGCCGCGACGGCAGCAACCGATGCACCGCCCAGAAACGGACGGCAACACGTCCCCCCCGCTTCCCCTTCTGGCGAGCGAACATCCGTGTCGGATGGCATTCCCGGCTGCCAGCCGGGCAAACACAGCAAGTAGGTCAAGAGCATCACTCCTCCAAGAGTTTTCTGTGCTAAATGTTGTGCTAACGCCTGCGTTACTGCTCATCAGACTGAGGTTCTGAAACTGAGGTCGAAAAATCCCTTCCCGTGATAGCAGAGGTCAGGTTTTCCATCTTGAGATGTTTCAGGTTGAGCAAGACCACCCGTTTTTGGTAAAATGCCCTTTGATATTAAAATCTGCACTCAGGCCTGCCCTGATTGCAGAAAGCAGCTTTCACCAGGACAGCTATTACAGCTGGGCAGAAACAAACGACCGAAAACCGTATTATTAGGTACTTAGCGTTTAGAAAAGCTCTAATGGAGATTTAACAGACTTACTCTAAAGAATTCTTTGGTTGAGCCTGAATCCAAAGTGCCATAGGCTATTTCAGTTTGTTTAGCCAGGTCTTCTGCGCTCTCTATGGGAGAAACCATCCTTTCCACCGTAAGGAAGGCAGCAAGATTAGCAGTGTAGGAAGAGATAATGATGAGAGTGAAGAACCACCAGACTCCTCCGACAATTCGCCCTGAGAGAGATCTATGGAAAAACACAACATCATCAAATTGCTTGGAAGACATTCCTTAATTTTTTTTTTTTTCATTGAAGAGAAATTCACATGCACAACCCTTTGGATCTGGAGGTCCAGATCCTCCAGGTATCTGTGAACGGGCAGACCGTGAGCCAGCTCCCCACAGCCTTTCTCGGGAGAGCAAACTCGGCGTGCACCTGATCTCACCTAGTTAAACTCTCTCTCCAGTCTTTCAAGTGAAAACAAGGACGGTCAGTTAAATAATTCACCTGAGCCAACACCATGGGAGGCTTGGAGAGGTACAAGCTGTCCTGACTTCCACAGATCCACTGCCGGAGAGGTCTTTTGCCAGAAGACTTTTGTCTTCTCTGCTTGCCCAGCCCTTCCCCGAGGCTGGGTCTGCCTGCTGCGATATGCCAGCACCGTGTCTCTCGGGGGGCTGCCCAGCCCAGAGGACAGCGATGTGCCTTTTACTGCATCGACTCTCAAAATGTAAGATGTAGTAAACTGCAAAAAGGAATCTGAGTAAAATGCAGAGGAATAAAAGAAAAATGACTCAGTATCCTTCTCATCACAACCTCGCAGGAATTGCAGACTGAATCTGCATATTGAAGTGAAGAGAGAGGCTGGTTTGTATCATATCAATTAAAATTTGCATGTTGCACTGTTCCAAGTCAAGCATATTCCTGCTTTATAACCATGAGAGCAACTGAGAAGGAAGCAGAAAAAAAACCTGTGTTCTGTTTCTGTTGTGGTTTTTATTTTTTGTTTTTTAAAAGGATACTGTTAAGGACTGAAAAAAAGCCTATTTGTAAATACGTAATTACAAGATGCGTAGCGGTCAGGAGGTCTAGGTCCTGTCAGTAAGAGCTCCTGATGCTTTAAAGCAATTGAACATCAAGCTCAAAGTATTTGTTTGGGGCTGAAGGATGCCAGTGCCACGCTGCTCAGCTGCGTGGGGAACCTCACCACCATGTACGGTGCTCATTCTTCAAACACAGCTTGTTGACCAGGAATCATTTCGGGAGCTGAGACAAAGCTATTTTGTATGTTTTCCCTTAACTCTACCGATACTGGTGGAGGAATAATCAATCCCAGATACATTAAATCCATGGAACCTGGCTGCTGTAGTCCTCAGTTTGTGTGAAGGGAAGAAATAGAAAGCAAGAAAACTCTTACCTGTTTGTTTCCTTCAAGCCCCTCAGTGCCATCCCCAGACAGTGGGTACAAGTTGTCCTACCAACAGATGGAAACAGGAAAAAAGCAAAAGTCTGGTGATGTGCCCCCACCCCACCCACACAGGGGGGTCAGCTGGTAAACTGCCTAGATTTGGCCAGAGCCTGAGACTGCTGGAGCCATGAAAAAAATCCCATTAAACTATGAAGAAAAAAAAGAAAGATAAAAAAAAAAAAATCCATCCAACATTAAAGAACACACCAAAGAAAAAAAATCACCAACAGATAAAAACAGAGCGTGCAGTCTGGAATATGTTAGAGGAATGTGGAGAAACACACTAAGAGGTGAAGCACTGCTATGCTCCACTCTCCTCTGCCCCAGAAACTGAAGCAGCAGCTCCCACGGAGAGGGCAGAGGCAGGCTGGTTCCTATGGAATACAGCACGCGCCACTTGCCAGCGCAGTGAGCATCCCAGCGACTGCCGCACCACGTCCGTGCCAGCGTGCAAGGCGGTTCGGCTGGTTACAAAGCTTAGGGAAGCTTGAGGAGTGAGGCATCACCTCTTTGTCCATCAGGAAGCAATGACTTTTGAGGTGTGAATTCTGAGAGACATCGCCATCGCTCTGGCCTGCGTGCGCTTCCCCAGGGCAGGCACACATCTCCTGGGTCACCAACAAGCCGAGGCGGCTTCCCTGCCTTTCTTGAGGGCCTCCCAAGAGGATAGAAGGCTTTCCAAGTTTCAACCCGGGCTGTGCTGCAGCTATGCTCACTAACAGAAGGCTACTGAGTAGCTGCAAAGGTAAGCTGCAGAAATAGAAATCCAGAATGATGTAGTAAGTCAAGGAACCTCTCTACCTCGCTCTGCATTCTTTGTAGGTATCAAATTAGTATCTTGGGATTTCACAGATGGCTAAAGTCCTTTCTGGCCAGCTCCCTTACCAGTCAGGGTCTTGGCTTTAGCTACTTTGTAAAACCCAATACCCTATACACCGGATCAGCCTCTGACATGAACTGACATAATTTCAGCCAACTACAAAGCAGTGCCTGCTGAAATCGTCGCCTAAGGCTCCCTTTGGAGCCAGCGGAGAGAAACAGGAGACAGACACCCTCAGCAAGAGATGTATCTCACTTGCTGTAGTCTGGGATGAAGATGCCCATCTGTCTCGTGACTTTGGAGGGAACCAAGATGCCTAACTAAAACACAGCCTATCGCTTTTAGATGGCTATGTCAGGTGAAATTCATCTCACTTTTGTTCGTTCCTTCACTACATACTTTCCATCTTCAGAAAAGACATGGAGTTGAATTCCTTCTCCCTGCAGCACGGTGCACCGCTTCAGAGCCAGACTGAGCAGAAGTCTGGCTAGCAGATACAGCAGATGAAACATCCACCTGCATACAGCAGTGGATTTATCCGGGGTTTATCTGGGGTTTCCAGGTTCCTGTGGCCCTCTTGCTTTACAGTAGGTCTTGAAATAGGAAGATGAAAAAAAGACTTGCCAGGGTGGTTAGGTAAGTTCAGTGGAACTCTTTGGAACAAAACAGTATGTGTTCACTCTCCCTATAGTTTCCCATAGCAAATGTCTTACTTGCATTGGTAGCTGTCCCTTTTGTTAGCAGGACAGATGGGTTGCTGGGATGAAGATGTGCAGAAGATGGGCTTTTTCCAAACCAGTGAAACCTCAAGCTCACACCGCTGTAACAATACCAAGTCTGCGTCGAGCTGCATGCTCATACAGCATATGACACACAGAGAAAGGTAAAAACATCTTGCCCTGGAGATCTTGCAACATGCATGAACCAGTCAGACAGATACAGGACAAAAAATGGAGAACAGCCGCGAGGCAGCGGGAGCGGGGCACGGCTGCATCCCTTGACGAAGGCGGCACTTCCCCCAGGGTCCCACGTGCTAGATGAGGATCAGAGCTGTTGTCAGAAGAGTTGAGGTCACTTGCAAGAAAACTGGATGTCACTACAAAGTTGTTTCTCCCAGAGTCTTCCAATGAGGACAGAAAGGAAGATTAAACAGCTGCTACTAAGAAGCAGCCTGGGCTGACATAGCTGTAAGCGGTGGTAGCACAGGATGGGGCAAAAGAAAAACAAAACAAAACACAAAGGTGGCACTGATGGAAAGAAAGACAGAGAGAGTCGAAGAACAAGAAGACGGGAGAGCATGGCCTGGCAGCCTCCTGGTCCAAAGGACCCCAGTTCCCCCCAGTCCATCTGCTGATACGAAGACTCCTTATACCCACTGCAGGGGCTGGTGTAGAGGGATGCGGGAGAAAAAGGGTTAGTACATAAACACCGGGCTGGTAGTAAGAGAATACTCATATGGTCTGTACTGTGAACACAGAAATGTTTGTCCACTACTCAAATAATAATTATAGAAAGATCAATCACAGCTTTTAATACCAGCATCACTTTTTCTGATAAAGCCATACCTGTCCAAGTGTGCAGAGTTGTAATTTAAAAACAAACAACTAATGCTTTATCCCAACACGTCATTCTCCAAATTACCTCAATAAATAGATACTTTGCACAACATTATTTTAAAGTGAATTAGCATGTTAACACATGAGAGGAGTACCAAAGACCGGGAACAACAGAAGTATAACTCAATTATCAAAACAAGGTCAGACAGTGTTTTCAAAAGGAAGTAAACAGGAAGAATGCATACCTTGAGAGGAAATTTAAAAGGAAGCATGGAGTCAAACGAGAGCAAATTAGTAACATGAGAAAAACAAAAATAAATATTCAAATTCACATTCAGTTTCCAGGAGAATACTACATTCAAACAAAACCTCATTTATTTATCAAAACAGCTTGAATTTTGTTTCTACCCATGGCCATAAAACACATTTGATTTCCTACTAGTACACAGAAATAATAAGCTTCTCTCACTGCTCAGTTTTTAATTGGGCTCTTCTGATCGATACAAGATGGCTGCCCCGTTGACAAATAACCCTGAACAACTCTGGTGCCAACTCTCCTTGTCTGGAACCCCTGCGCATTCTGAGCGCACGTCACCTGGTACCCGCTACGCTACGAGCGCGGTCCCTTGTGCGCATGCCCAGCTGGCCCTCCAGCTCTCCTGCCGGCCTCATGCGGCCAGGCGGCCCTCGCCTCAGCTCCGAGTCAGAGGACAATAAATAACAGCATCTAAGGCGCTGACTTGAGATGCTTCCATCATAGGAACTGGCAGTGGGAGTTTCAGAAAGATCTAGTTACTCAGCTCTCATTGCTATTTTGAAAGTCCCACGAAGTCATTCCCATGGCCTTTAATAGGAGTCTTCTGCTTTGAAAATAGGGATCTAGAAATACACCCTCTTAAATGACCAACCTCATGAGATAATTTTTAATGAACCCCGTCTTTTTCCATCAGCAATTAATTAATCCAGCCTCTTTGTTCCACATGAATAAAGAGCAAAATGAAAATACATGCTCTCAGAGATTTCAAAGATACTTTCGCTCAGAACAGTGTTACAAATTCGACTGTGTTTTCTCCTGATTCCATTTGCTGTACACATCTCACATTAAAGTAAGTTTAATAATCTACTTTTGATCCATCAAAAGTGAATTTTCAATGCTTTAGCTCACTATGCAGAAAACACAGCAGCCTTTGATAGCAGAACAAAACTGCTGGAACAAATGTTGATTCCATCAAGGGATGCACTAAGCCCCATCCTTTGGCTGCTCTCTGATTCCGTTTAGACGACTCCTATTAAATACAGAGAGAGGAGAGTATAGGGATATATCCTCCGGAATATCCACACAGCATACTCACCGAGGATAGATCTAACTAGTCATTAGATGTCACAGCTGTTCCACACAAAGGCAGCTGAAAGAGCCTTTATCAGCAAGTACAAAAGTGATCTCTCCAGACTGCTTGTCGGCATCTCTCTACAAGTGCTGTACGCTCTCATTTAAGAAATGTATTCAGACAAAACTCACAATGGAAGAATGAAGCCCCTTTTAATGGCAATAAAATAGTATGAAACATTCATATAGTCAACGTACTGTGAATGGCGTAACCTTACAAAGACACGGATTAAGAATGGAATACTGGGGAACAGTCCATTCTACTGTTCTACTGGAAAAGAAATCTGACATTTAATCACCTTAAATCAACACAGCGGTCAAAGGAACAGTGTTTCTGGAATTTAAACCAAGGTACTAAATTCTTCTTTGTTTCAGGAGCGATTCATGTAACTGCCTGGAGTCTGTTATCATGAAAGATAACAAAATAACTGGACAACGTCTTCAAGCGAGGGCCGTGTATTAATACTGAGCTAATAGCTTCTGATGGACAGATGTCTCTTGCTTTTTATAAGTATTTCCAAAGCACTTGTCATGGTAGTATTGAAAAAAAAAAAAAGAATATGTTCCACTCGTTATGTAAGGTAAATGGCTGAACATGTCAGAGTCAGATGACAGCTTAACAAAAAACCTATGCACTTCTATTTAACTGTCAATAAACAGACCTAGCGGAAACAGCGCAATGCCTGCAGCTTTCCATGTGATGTCCCAGTGCTTATTTCCCGGTCCTTTATATTGGGCACACACATGGTCAACAGCAATTTAAATGTTATCACTACTCATCACCTTTAACAGCAAGCAGAGAGGCAAAGTTTCGGTAGAGAATTTAGGCACAAAGCGGAAACACGGCGTATGAACAGGAGGAGGAGGCTAACAGCTATAACTACACAGTCAGGCAGCACACCCAAACACCGACAACTGCGAAAACTAACGTGTGGCCACAGCCAGGCACAAACGTGTGCCTCTTCTAGGTAGGCTATATATGCGTCTGTCGATAGGTGTGACATCTAATTGCTGCTACAAAGACGTTTAAAACATAGCATGACTCGCATCAAATACCAACAGGCACACGTCAGTATCGCTGAAAGTCCTGGATTTCGCTGCCATCGTCAGGAGATTGGAATGTGCAAGGACTGTGCACTTAAAGGATCATTATTACATTATAACAGGTAAAATCACGATCCTTTCCATGAAACTTCATAGAAGTTTTGCCACTTGCTTCAGTGAGGCTATTCAAGATCCCTACCACTACATGCACCAGGAAAACTGGTAACTTTTCAATGATTCAGGTATTGGAAAAGGTATGAATTCAGAGATCGACAAGGTGCATTTCGAACACAAGTGCTTAGTTAGAAAAGGTCTGTCTCTCTTGCTTTAATTAGCAACCTTGTTAAAAGGAAAAAACTGCATCCTGTTTGTACTAAGCAGGTATTTTTAATAACTGAAAGCTGTGAACAGGCTATTAAAATATTGTCATACAAAATGTAACTAGTGCTCCATCACTAAGAAACTAGACAATTTGGCTGCTTATCACAGGCACATCACCACAGTATTTTACCAGTGTAAATGTAGAAACATTATATATATATTATTCAAAAAACACTTGTGGTATGCAGTTCAATTAGAGAGAGCTTCACTATTCTCAGCTGGTTTTCAAAACGCTTCTTTAAAAAAGAAATAAAATTCTACAATAATTAATACCAGTGCTCTCTGTTAAACTGCATCTAGTATCAAACATGTTTTACTACAGCCTGATTCAGAAAGACTGTCTTCAGGAATAAGAAAGGCGAAACTGGCAATGCTTATTAGACCATATTGACGATGAACACAGGGACAACAGATTAGACTGGATTGAAACGACGACACACATCCAGGGCAGGACGCCGTAACTGTTAGAGGGGCACATACAGAGACCTGAACATACAAAAGGCGGTGGTAAGCAAATCAGTAATAGATGAAAGGATGGTTCAGGAAGAACAAAACTAGAGAAATTAGGCACAGCAGAAAGTAAAAAGATGAGCAGAAGCCAGGATGGGAGTGGAGGTGTTTTAAAGTGCTGTTGCATGTGACTTTTTAAAATAAACAATTCTGATTTTGCAAAGCAGAATATGTTATATGCACCAAGGAGATGACCGTAAAATGAGATATGCAGCAAAAACACGGTAGCCCTCCAAGCATTGCTAAAAACAGAAAACCCCATGCATTTTACAGCTTCAGCATGGTGTATATAAGTTTGGCAGAAATGCATAAACGGCATTATAAGGCAATGCCACTCACTCTGGAGGTTAATGTTAGCAAGCATGGAGGCTTGACGATGATGCTTAGCGTTGAATGGAATGTCAAAACAAAAATTTGGAATTAAAAAGAAATGTGAAAGAGTAACATATATGCACCATGGCATCAGAAAATGACCATAAAATGCAAAAAGGTGATGGAGTGACATGGAACAAACCTTGGAGAAATATCGCATCCTTGCTGCATAAAGGCACCCAGGGAAAACCAAAGGCTGTTAAATATTCCAAACTCATTTGGAGGGTCAGGAGGATTCTGAGGGTCACGTGGTTCTTCACTGCTGTCTTCCAAGTGCCATTCGTAAGGGCTGAATCTGCTGACTAGGAAAAGAACTACGCTGACGCCAATGTACGCAAAGACTATACACATCCAAATTTCATAAGCCAAAGGATCCAGGAAAGAGAATACGCCCGGTTTAGATTTCTGAGGCTTCTTGATCATGATGGAGATGCCCAGGCTCATAAAGGGTTTGGAAAAGTCTATGACTTCTTCTCGCACCAATGTTATGGTGAGGGGGGCAACAGCTATATCTGCTCTCTGAAAAGGGAAAACAAACCCAAGTTAGTTACAAAGCAGCTGCAACATCATCACAATCTAGAGTCTCAGGCTAATGCATCAGATGACAAATTACAAGAGTGAGTAGGAAACATTTTCTTTGCAGCCTATTTTGCAGTCACTGGAGTTAACGACTACATGATATTGATAGACAATTATCAACAAGAAAAAATTACAACGAAATCTGTGCAAGGGCCTCAAGACAGAGGCAGTACCAAGATGTGTTTGTTTCTATTAAGTTAAAATGGAAGAATAAACACTACACAAACTGGACAGTGAGATGGCAACTAAAACAACGTAATTTTCTAGTAATCGTCTGTATCCATGCATCTTGAAGACTTTGGGCAAATTATGTCTGTTATATTTTAATTTTCTCTTTTCTGTTCTTTCATCAGGTTCTCTTGCCTTACTGATAAGGCCAGGATCTTTGAAAGGAACCTAAGAGAAGTCATCAGTTACTGAATTTCAGCTGCATTTGGGCGCTACCACTCGTATATTCCTTTGAAACCCCATTGCATTAAGGGGCAGCAGATGGTAAAATAATGGGGTGATAGGAACCAGACAGCCCACCCTTTCTGTGGTCAGTGAAGAACAGTAATACAGATTTGTGAGTCCCTGCGAAGCAAATAGCCTGGGTTATCTGAGAAGAATGTCAAGTACTATTTTTCAGTATAATGTCTGCCATCCTATTACACAGAACTTAGTTCTATAGATCTATAACATAGACCACGCACTGGGGCTATATCACCTGGAAGCACAAACTCATCTCCTTGTATCTATCATTCACCACCCTGAACCGAGAACCTCTTCAAACAATAAATCTTTGCTGGATTTCATGGTAGGGTAAGAATGTGAAGGAAAAAAAATGACTTAATTACCTGATTAAAAATAGCACTCCAGAACAGTTTTTCAAAATTTTTAATTGTATCTGTATTTCTTTACCAAAAAGATTCAAGTCATGCTGTTGAAATAAACCTAGCCTTGATTCAGCCAAGTACTCAAGCTTATGTCAGCATTTGCAATGGAGGGGACTAGAATGTTAAAAAAAGTATCCTTTCTATTTAAAAAAAACTCAACTAATTATTCTTATGAGACTCTACATACCTACATACACGTTTTTGTAATCTTCACGTTTAAATACCTTAACTGTTCATGTTAGTGATACTTTTAAAGATGCCCTTTTGTTGGTAATTAAGAATATCATACAGAAAAAATGATTCCTAGGGAAAGTTTAACTTACCAGTACCTAAACCACTGTGCACCTTTTAAAGCAGATTTTTGTTTCCCACTAGTAAGTATGTATCTCTTTCTGGTGGAAAAATAACACCTGATTAAGTAGAATTTTGAATAAAAGTTAATAGGAAATGTTAATTAGAAGTGATCAAAACCTATGCCACAAAATAATTGAATATGTCTTTATGTAAATCTGATGGCAATGTACGTGACTTTCACTAACATCTGATTTGTTCCTCCTCCTAGATCACAGAATCTTAGAATCATAGAATGGTTTGGATTGGAAGGGACCTTAAAGATCATCTAGTTCCAACCTCCCTGCCATGGGCACCTTCTCCAGCCAGGGTGCTCAGAGCCCCATCCAACCTGGCCTTGAAGACTTCCAGGGATGGGGCATCCACAACTTCTCTGGGCAACCCATTCCAGTGCCTCAGCACCCTCATAGTGTAGAATTTCTTCCTTATGTCTAATCTAATTTTACCTTCCTTCAGTTTAAAGCCGTTACTCCTTGTCCTGTCACTACTGGCCCTTGCAAGAAGTCTCCAGCTTTCTTGTAGGTCCCCTTCAGGTACTGGAACTGCTATAGGGTGTCCCCGGAGCCTTCTCTTCTCCAGGCTGAAGAACCCCAACTCTCTCAGCCTGTCCTCACAGGAGATGCTCCAGCCCTCTCCTACGGGCTGGTAGATAGTTGGTTTAGGTATTTTTTTTTAAGTAAAATAAGCAGAAATGGGGAAGGCTTCTCAGTATCTTCTCAGTTAATCCCAGTACCACACGCTCTGTGCCAGCTGGTGCCTCAGTGGCACTGTGCAGCCATGCCCGAGGCCCCTGCTATGGGTTTTAAGACTAAGGCTAATGGCAGGCTTGTCGGACTGACGACTGGCCCTCTACGGCCTTCCCACAGGAAGCCTCCCTCCATCAAGTGCCCGTCTGCACATACAACCTCTAGATTTGCTCCAGCCACTCGGGAATATCTCGACGGTTTGTACCGGAATGTGCAACTCGGGGGTATGTGTACAAGTCCACTGCTTGGGATAATCAAATAAACCACGCCTGTGCAGGTGAGGAAGCCATTCCGAAATCATGAGCCTTGGTGTACCCTCTCACAGCCCTCCTCAGCTCTCTCAGATGTTCATGCATACTAGGACATTGCTCTTCCCCTTGAGTGACCGCTTTCCTCAAGGAGAAAACCCTCACCTAATTCGTGGTCACTTACCACAAAAATCTAGCTTAACGTGGCTTGAATATAAAAACTGAAAATGCCGTCTGGCTTTGGATGTCTGGGTGTTTACTGGCTTTACAGGTGACTGTGTTAATCACCTAAGTAATAGAGAGACCGGGGAGACACAGGTAGAGTGTGGTAAAGGGACTGGATGATGCTTGAACTTGTTCACTGATAAATTCCCCCAAAACACATATTTGTCTTGTAGCTGCTGCTTGTTGAGCTACTGTTAAATATTAGACGTCTGCAGTCAGTAAGTATGAGATGCACACAGAATATCAGTTTTAAATGTAGCCAGAGTCCATGGCTGGCTGGAAGACTAAGCACTTTGACCATGGCTTCTGTATTTCACGTTGAACTAATGCGGTACTTACAAATTAATTCTTATTAGAGCAAGCTTAACGGATCAGGACCCCTGCAGAGACTTAGCAATGATTCCACGCGAAGTGAAGCTTAGGTGGGAGGCAGATGCCATACCGCCTGGCGCTTCTGCACATGGCCAGCCAGCCTTGGAACAGCTCAAGGTAGGAAAGGGCTGGTTCAGCTGTACAAGCATTTAGTTTCTGTAGCATTTTCCTGGACTTGGAGAAATTTACTTGTCCCAAAGTAATATTTTAATTGCCAAAGAAGACACGGTGGAGCTCTTCCTAAGTGCTGATGCAGCGTGCAATGAAGTCTGTACCTCCTCCATGAGCAGCCGAGTTCATGCAGGATGTTCCTGTGGGGTTTTGGGGGGGATGAAGCTGATGCTGTGCTGAAGCACAGACAAATCAGTTTTTAAAGGCCTGATTGTTACTATGTCCTCATTCATATCATACAGTACAGATTTCTTTGTAAATGATTTAAAATTGCAGTTTAAATTACAAGGGATACAGTATTTCTTTTTCTGATACATTTCTGTCTTCCTGCTTTCCCACCATTTTTGATAGGCGTTCAATACATTGGAAACACCAACAAACACCCTCGTGCCTCAAATGAATATGGCAGCAAATGTTTTCTGCAGAGGGAACAAGCACAGGTTCAGACACAAGGTCTCTGGAAACCATCGACAACCAGGACACTGAGAGTGGATTAGCTACAAGCCAGCACCCAAGCCTGGGTCCCCACCACTGCCCTTAATATTTCGTTGCACTAGAGAGGTTAAAAAATAGACCGCTCTTTGCTTATTTATTTAGAGATACAGTGTTTGAAATGGAGAGCTTACGGAGAGCGCTAAGCACTCTAAAGGGTCATTAATAATTGCAGCACAGTTGTGAATTTCCCTCCCTGCTATGGCTGCAGATAAGCAGAACCCATAAAAATTGAGCTCGGTTAAAAAGAACACAACCACAACCATGTCCTTCCCTGTGCAGAACTGGAAGGGGAGGGGTTAAGAACCTCAACAACTAAGCTTTGCTAATCACTCATGACTAATGGTGTTTCAAACATCATCTTCGCTGCATTTGAGCCAGGCGAGAAATGTCATGGATTCCTCTGAGGCTTGTTCTGTCTTTGCCTACTAGTGTGGGAGGGACGGATTTAGAGGACATGCAGCACAGAGGCACCACCCGCTCTGTTCAAAGCTGACCCTGGGGGGCTGCGAACCTCGAGACTCTTCAGGGGAGGGAGAAAAAATAGCAAATGGAAATATCCCTCTGCATGGAGAAAGAAAAAGGGTAAGAGGTTCCACCTCTGTAATTCAAAAGGAGGGATCGAATTCTGCTTACACACCTAAAGATGAGTCTTCCAAACTTTAGAGCCATGCACTAGAGACAGCAGGAGATACCAGCTATGGTCCTGCCTCTACGTGTTCTGGTCATTCATGCCTGCAGATCGGAACAATTTCGGAACAATTCCTTTGCTGGTGTGTCACTTTTCAAGAAGTGGGTCTGGGCTACAGTCACTGTGTGAGACCTTTGTGTGACGGGAAGCCAGCCAGCACCCAGGAATGTGCAGACCGAAGCAGAGGGATGCTGCTCGATCTCCATCGGGAGCCGAACCCCCAGGCACCCAGAAGTGCTGAATGCAGGTACGCAGCGGCGTCAGAAGAGATCGCGCTGGAATGACGACTGCCTCTGAGCGCATTTTAGGACTTCTCAGTGCAGTCCGAGGTTTCCAGGTGTCAGACAGAGCAACACATCACCTGCGGTATCAGCTGGTAACAGCTACCTTGCAAAGACAGTCCACTATACCCAAGGACAGAGAGGCCAGGTCATGGGGGCAATGTGTTTTTAACACATTACCTCACACTTACATAAAAACAGCAGCTGATATCTAACTAGCAACACGCTGCATTGAAATCTTCATGTGTATTAGCTGACTGGTGTAACAAGGTATTAAGGTGTTAAAACTGCAGCTGGCCTTGTCTGCCGTAGTTTGTCAATGTTAAGTCCGTGCGTGCTTTACGTGGATGCCCACGGTGCCTTCTGAGACACTACTGCTGTACACAGACGGAGACGTTAAGGTACGGATGCTTCTTCAGCTGCAGACACGGGCGCGCTTCCTCTGCCGGTGCTCAGACGCAGGTCAGCCGAAGCCTGCGACCACGTCA